CCCACCCCCAGCCCGAGCGCGATCATTAATGAGAGGAAACCGAGTCCCTGAGGCGGGTCCGCTTTCCAGGGCCGCAGGTAGAGCGCGGGCTGGACGGGGGCGGGAGCTGGATGGAGCGTCCAGGTCCCCAAGTCTGCAAACCCTGCACCTGTGTGTTTTGGTTGGAAAGCCCCACCCTTCACCCCAGCAGTGACACGTGGATTTCCAAAAGACGATTTCGTTTTATGGACAGGACTGTATTAGTTTAAAGAAAGCAAAAAGTTTCTTTGGGAAAGATGTCTTGCTACAAGGAGACGAGGTAGTCCACCCTCTCATTTCCCAGGGAGCAGGCCAAATCGTTGCCTCTTCATTGTTGAGTAATAGGTGTCTATTTCATGTCAAGCGTGATGTATAAAATGTTGTGAAAGCGGGTTATTTCCATTCATGTTAACTCTTCTTTAGAGATAAATGTTAAACCAAGTTAAAATCGCTTGGAATTTGCAGCCTAATACTCGAAATGGTAAATTTCTAAATTTATAGTCTAAAATTTGATTTAGTGCCGTCACTCCTTTTCTAACAAGAATCTGCCAGGAATAAGGTTTTACATGTCACAGAAATACACTGGAATTCTTCTGTGTGATTGTATCAGTTACACTGAAGAGTAACTTCAGTGGCCATGCTAGTCTCCCACTCATGAAAAGCATCGAAAGTTGTAAGGGGTCACCTGCTAAATGCCGTGTTGTTCCTCATTTGATTTATCTGTGTGTATATATATATATATATATATACAGATAAATAACTATACTATAGGATAGTATATGACTACTAATGTGCCTTCAACCATTAAAACCCAAAACCAACTTTTAGTGTTTCGGTTGTTGCTGTAGAAGCAATTTTCAATGGTGATAGTCCTGTTCTGGAGACAGGCAGTACACGCTGCGGTTGTGTTTACGGATTTTAAAAAAAGAAGTGTGCTTACTAAAAACCCAGACCAAAACAAAACTAGATCTTCTAAAAAGCTAAACTGTCATTATGGATGACCTACATTTTATTTTAGAAGAAATAACCTTGTTAAATATCCGCAGACTCAATCTGTTTTACTCTACTTGTACGGTGGACTAAAACACGAAAGTTTCAATGTGCTAGCGCTTGATACTCTTTTGTGGAGTATGTACACCAAATAATACAGTTGAGTCCAGAGTGATAGAGAAGATATTTATTTACACACACACACACAGACACACTTTGTTACTTAAGATACTAAGTTTCTGGAAAAGAATAGACTAGGTAGGAGCCACCTTGCTTGCTTTTTATTTTTTTCTTGAACACTGAATACAGCAATCACTGGTCTCTCTGTACATCACTAACATTTGGGCTAATACTCTTTTTGTTTTGTTTTGTTTTTTAATATATCTTTATTGATTTCAGACAGAGGAAAGGAGAGGGAGAGAGAGAGACAGAAACATCAATGATGAGAGAGTCATTGATCGAGCCCACAACCCCGGGCATGTGCCCTGACCAGGAATCGAACCCCGATCGCCTGGATCCTAGGTCAACACTCAACTGCTGAGCCACGCCTGGCCTGGCTGGGCTAATACTCTTAATCACCCTGACTACAAATACCTGATATTTCCTGTAAACCAGATGTATGACCATTCCGAGATCGAAACATTGATTGCTATGTGTGTTTAAAGTATGCACACCTGAATTGCTATAACTTGAAACACTTAATGTATACTATATTATGTCTGCTATAAAAGCATTATCACCTGAGTCAGATGGACCTACTAGTAATTAGCCTTGGGAATATGCCTGAGTTCTCCTTATCTATAAATGGAGAGCATTTGCCTTGCTTCTCTGGGTTGTTAGGAGGATTAGGTGTATAGAAAGCACTTTGAAAATTGTAAAATTGAAAATAAAAGCATGGAGACGGGATCCACATTTGCAGTTTGCAATAGAACTTTGAGTTGGTCGGGAAGATTGAGATCACTGTGTACTTAGGTTTTCAAAGTTTTAATGAACACTTTTGCCTTTTTTAACATTGATTGTCCTTGAAAGTGGCTGTTTCAAAAATTAAATGCTGTAGGCTTGCTTTGTTCTTACCTCTTTAAAGCATAGATTGCATTGCATTATGTTGTAATCGGATATATTAATACATTTGCTTCCATTACTAGACTGTGGCTTCCTCAAGGCCACGTTTTAGATTTTATTAGTTCTTTTGTCTCTAGCCTCTAGTACAGAGGCTAACATATAATTAAAATAATTGCTTATTGTCTGCTAATTATCTATTGCATGCTAGATACTTTCCATGTGTTTCTTAAATTTATTTGACCAATAACAAACACATTTTATAACTACAAAGTATTGATGAAACACCAACAGAACCAAAGGTATACCCTTTGGATTAAATGGAGGGCAAACAATAAAATCAAAGGCCATTTTCTTAATTTCTTTATGAAATTATGAATTTTATTAATATTTTCCCAATTTTATAAGTAACTCATGTTCATTGTAGAAAACTTGGAAAATATGGGAATGAAAAAAGGAAAAATAGTTCCTAAATTTTACAGTCTGGACATAATCTCTGTTAACATTTTGAAGTATATCTTTTAAGTACATATTGTCCTGCCTTTGGAATTATACTGTATATATGTTTATTTCAGGTAGAGATGGGGTAGCAGGGAAAGAACTTACTTTAATACTCCCTAACCTGTCTTTATGAGCCAACTGAATCAAGCAACACGCTTTAAAAAAAAGGTCTATTTATTAGAGATTAGTGGTTCAAAGAACTGAAAAAAATCAGCAACTGATCAGATCTTAACCTTTCCTCCTAATCTTTCATCCTTGAAATTAAGGCAGAGTACCGTCACAATCCGGGCATTTTGTGACAGATTGATTTGACAGGTGATAAGTTTGAGAGTAAAGATTGTTCTTGGGCCTGGCCAGTGTGACTCGGCGGAGCATTGTCCCATGCACCGAAAAGTCGCCGTTTTGATTTCCCAGTCAGGGCGCATACTCAAGTTTGCTGGTTCCATCCCCGGTCAGGGTGCGTGTGGGAGGCGATGAATGTTTCTCTCCTTCTCCCTTCTTCTCTCTCTCAAATCATAAAATAAATAAATAAAAATAAAGTGGAATGAAAGTATTTCCATTCCTTAAAGAAAGAAAAAGAAAGGGAATTTCAACCATTTCATGAAAGAAGCACTAACACCAAATTATTCCTTGGAGAGGAATGGCATACTCTTAATTAGTCCCTTAGTTACTCTCTGGGCTTTCACCATATGAATCTAATAAGTAATTTGTGAATATTATCATTGTAGAATTTATTTTCAAGCTTTACAAATAGAAGACTATGTGAACAAGGACCAATATAAATCACCTATATAACTGAAATAAAGCTGTTATATAAATGACAGCTTAAAAGCTGCCGTATAGTTAGTGGTGAAAGAGTGGGATCTGAAATCATACTGCTTATGCTCAAATCCCAGTTCCCCTTCTTGGTTATGTGACCATATCTTTTTGTTTGTTTGTTTTTGAGATAGTAATACTTAACAACGGTTGTGGGGTTTTTAATGAGGTATATGAAGTTCTAAGCACAGTGTCTAGCTTCTGTTATTAATATCTTGACCACCTTTTTAATATTTAGTACTGGCTATGTAATTTCATAAACTTTTAAAATAGATAAAAGATTATAACTAATAATGCTTGCATGCTTACGTTGTTAGGTTTAAATGAATTACAGTTACAATTAACATGGAAAACAGGCACACACAAAAAAGACAAACGTTGGACATTGAACTTAAATATTAGCACTAATGCTTATTTATTAACTGGGAAAATGTATTTCAGAGTACCAAATCTCTATCCTATCTTTTTCCCAGCTCCTTCCCCCCAGATTAAAATATCGCACGTACACACACACAAATATATATTACAAAGCCCTTGCTATTGGAATTTGAGGAGCCTCATAAATAATACTACTTACTTTCCCTTCTCAAGTTGGGAACCAATTTAAAAATAAAGTGCCAACATGAGAAAGATGGAAGTGAAAATGCTAGTAGAGCCGAATTGGGACTCTCTAATGCTGTCTCTAAACTGAACTTAACACTTAAACTGGAGGCCTGTTTTTTTTACATGGGTAGGGCCTGCCTTGGCAAACTTACTGTATAGATGAGCGGAAGTGTTGTTCCTTCTGAGGGTGGGCCACTGCAAATTAAGAGGACTGGGAAGGGTTGGGTCATAGGTGGGCCGCCCACTCTGTCTACTAAGTCACTTCTGCTAACATGAGGAGAAATGTGTGAGGGAGTAAAGAAGAGTTAAAAGTGTTCCTTCCATTCTTTTCCCTTCTTGGGGACTAGAGTGGAATTTTCCTTCCGTAGGTGGAAACAGATAGTGGGGGATAGGTGCTCCCCTCAATACTCGCCTTCAAAAAGCCTTCTTAGGGTTTAGTTGAATGTACCAGAATACAAAATTCATAAGACTCATACTAAAGTCATTTTTAAAAAACTAGGTATAGTGTACATGTAGTTAGTAACACTAACCTTGTACACACACACACACACACACATCTCTGGTAGCCACCACTCAGATTGAGATACAGAATATTTGTAGACTCATATAAGATTCTTTTGTTTCCCTCCTCTGTCCCCAGAAGTAACCACTCCTCTGACTTTTATCGTCATTGATTATTTAAGACAGTGGTTTTCAAAGTGTGGTCTGTGGTCTCCTGGGAGTCCCCAAGAGCCTTTCATGGTTCTGCAAGGTCAAAACTGTTTTCCTAAGACATTATTTACCTTTTTCCACTTTGTGCCAATGGTGCAAAAGCAGTAGTGGCTAAAACTGCTGTCTCTTTACCAAGTAGACTAGTAGCCATTGTATTCTTCACCATCACTCACTCATGGTTTTAAAAACTGGGCAGTTTTGGTGCTGGCCTAGTACTTAGTTTGCTACAGCGTCATCTCAATACCCCAAGGTTGCGGGTTTGATCCCCGGTCAGGGCACATACAAGAATCAACCAATGAATGTATGGATAGGTGGAACAACAAATCTCTCTCTCTCTTTCAAATCAATAAATAAAAATAAAAACAGGCAGTTTCACTTAAGAATATCTTTGATGTGTTAGTAAAAATTGTTAATTTTATTAAATTTCAACCCTTGAGTATACATAACTTTTACTGTTCTATGTGACGTAATTGGAAGTGCACACAAAACACTTCTGCCGTGTACCAAAGTATGATGATGGTTGTCTTGAGAACGAGCACTTGTGCCATCATTTGAGTTGTGAGCTGAATTAACCTCTTTCCCACAGAACATCTTTTTTACTTAAAAAACTGACAACGGGTTATTCATACTTGAATATTCAGCAGATATGTTCCTGAAAACGAATAAAGTGTATCTCTCATTAGAATAAAAATAATCTAGCTGCCTTCTCTGAAGGCAGTGCCGATGATTAAATTTGAGCTTTTAAGCAAAAATTAGAATTCTGAAAACGTGCATCCTCCACTGTGAGCTTGCCAGTTTAATTAACTCTTGTCTGTAATAAGAATCATTGTAATCTGTCTGAAGTGATAAGAAAGTACTTTCATGGAGGAGCTGAACAGTGATTTCATTCTGGAATTAACGTTAAGGAACATTGGGAGGCCCTGGTAAGGTGGCTCAATTAAAGCATCGTCCGGATATGCCAAGGTTGCGGGTTCGATCCCTGGTCAGGGCACATCCAAGAGTCAACCAATGAATGCATCAGTAAGTGGAACAAAAAAATCAATGTCTCCCTCTCTTTCTCTCAAATCAATAAATTTAATTTTTAAAAAAATTTTAAAAAAAGAAAAGAAACCTTGGGAGACAATGATGAAATGTTCCAGGCGTATGGCATGTACTTAAGACTTTGATTCTTAAATACAAAGACTTTGATTCTTAAGTTGTTGTTGTGTTGTTGTTAATCCTCACCAGAGGACTGATTTTTTTTAAATTTTAATTTTTGTAATATACTGGAAAGGAGAGAGGAGGGGAGAGAGAGAGAGACATCGATGTGAGAGAGACACATAGATTGGCTGCCTCCCCCACGTGCCCCGACCAGGGCTGGAAAGAACTTGGTACCCAGGTATGTATCCTTGACCAGGAATCAAATCCATAACCCTTCGGTGTGTGGGCTGATGCTGTAACCACCGAGCCACACCGGCCAGGGCATCTTCCATCTGTTTTAAAAGGAGTGCACATTCATCGTAGAGGGTTTGTAAAGTATAAAAGAATGCAGATTAGAAAAGGAATCTTTTGTATTCCGACCATCTGGAGATAACTGTTATTAATTTGATTTGTTAAATTAAATGACTCACTGATTACTGCGCCAAAAAGCAAGGAAATTAAAAAGACAGCAGTGTCTGACACAATTTGAGCTTGCTGTAGCAACGAAGTCTAACCTATTCCGGTGCTCTCTCCTCTATGAGACAAGCCGTTACATAGGCTTAGACAGTGTTAAAAAATTAAATTAAATTTAAAAAGGACACAGCAGTCCGCTTGAAGGAGCTACTGATGTTGAGTTTGATCATTTGATTAAAGTGGTTTCTGAGAGACTTTTCCACTGTGAAGTTACTTCTTTACTCTTTGTAATAAGTGTTTTTGTAGGGAGGTACTTTGAAACTACATAAATAGGCATTCCTCATCAAACTTTTCATTTATTAAAATGGACTTGGAATTTCCTATTCAATGGTTTAAAATCTGTTACTACCATTAGTTTTATGCTAACATTTCAGGTTTGGCTGATGAGAGCTTCTTCAACTTGGCTTCGGTATCCTTTTAACTTCCTTGTTTTTTGGCACAACAAGCAGTCAGTAGTTAGACTTAGCCTATTAACAATTTTAGCACTCTTGTCTTTTTAGCAATATTCTATATTGCTTTGTTCTTGAAATAGTGGTTATCTGAATATAACATATTTCCATAGTTTTCGACTAAAACAGACACCAACTAGATGTTTAAAAGTCATTTAACCTCAAAACAGCATTTACTTTTAGAAAAAAACTATAATCTCCATATTTACTTCTTCTGTTTTCTATTGTGCAACAACTGTAGTAACTAAAGTGAACATAAAATCAAAGTAGCTTTTTTTTCCACATGGATATGTATCCCTTTCTCTCTGCTAAACTGACATTAGAATATTAGGTTAATATATGTATTTGTTTCTTCATACCTTGAGTTTCTGCTGATTAATTAGGTTGCCATAAAAACGCAATCTAGTAATACAATAGAATAAGAACATTTTAATACTCTCGCAGATATGTTCAGATGGTATTGTAGATAAAGCTTTTTCACCCTGGCTGGTGCTGTTCAGTGCTTAGAGTGTTGGCTCGCACACTGGAGGGTTTCGCAAACGGAAGTCATTCCCGGTAAAGGTCACATACCTGGGTTGCAGGGCAACCAATTGATGTGTCTCTCTCACATCAGTGTTTATCTCTCTCTCTCTTCTCCCTCCCTCCCTTCCACTCTCTGTAAAAATAAATGGAAAAAATATCCTCTGATGAGGATTAAAAAAATAATAATAATAATAAAACACTTGTAATGTCTACATAATATCTAAACATCAAGGTTCACAAGATGTATCTTATTAAAATGAATTTATGGAAAAACAGAATGTTCAAAGTATCTAAGTAAATGAAGTTACATTTACTGCTTTTACAGGTGCTGGAGAAAATTTGGAGAATACAATGGCGGCGTTTCAGCAGTAAGTACATAAAAGAGTATTCTTCCCATTTACAGTTTATCTTTAAAGTGATGATTCACAAAATGAAGATAGAATACAAACAGCATCCACTTGTGACAGTTGTTCCTTTTTTTTTTTTAATTGCTTTTTTATGCAGTTAATCTCAAGTGTCACAAACAGTGTCTGGTTTCTGCATAACTGGGGGAAAAAAAGAGGTCAGAGTTTTGGATAATCAAAAGATACTATAGTTCCAAAGTTGAAAGAAGACATTTGTAACAAGGAACATACTGTGTGTAATGCTAATTAGCCTTGGAGAGAAGGAGTGAAGGAGAAAATGAAACAACTGTTACACTGGCTGCTGTTTATGAAATAGGATGATGTGGCTACCCAGTAATTCTCGTACAACCCAGAACCTGAAATCTAGTCTAAGACAGGGACTGTGAACAGTTACACCCGAGGAGAGACGTTACCTATCCATGCTGCTTTTCTTATGCAATTTTAAAGCCATTTCTATGTATATAATGACAGCTAAGCAATCAGGAGAATTTGGCTTATTTTTTGTCCGGCTTCTCATCAAACAAAGACAGCTAATTTCCCTGTTATCAGGTCCAAAGATACCGCTTCTCCATATTTTAGTTTCCTTTAAATCCCATGCCCCTGGATTTCTCGTGACTTCCTTTCCTGTTCAATATGATGCCTTTTTACTCTAATCTCAAAAGTCTTTTACAGCTTTAAGATGCAGACTCTTTCCTCCTGTCACAGACTATGAAATAGAATAATTTACATTATTTTCTTCTACTGAGATTATATTTCTAGCTAGCTAGCTATAGCTAAGTATGTGCATAATTTCTTGTGTACAGTTACCACTGAGATACACCCCCCACACACACACACATATTTAGATACACACTTCACAAAGCATATATATTATGACATGGAGGTGAAGGTGAGAAAATACTGGAGAAAGTATAAATAGTTGGTGTGGGAAGCCAGGTTAAGATTAACCAGAAAATTGAAAAGATACCAGGATAAGAAGAGCTATAATTTGGTAGAGAGGGAGAACATGAAATGTTTGAGATTAAGATGTGAGGATATGTGGACCAGGTATGTCTAGGAAATTGAAAGGACCTTAAGATTGTATGGAAAATTAATTCACTATATTGTAGTGGGGCTCAAGAAGTAATTAGGACTGACAAAGAGAAATAATTGCATCTCACAATTTATAAAAAGTTCTTTAATGTGATTTATAAAATGCTTTCAATAACATCTTAAGTTATGAATGTGGCTCTTCAGTGATTTCTTGGGAGCAAGCATCTTTCCTTATTGATCTCAATCCCTAACATCTAGCTCTTGTGCTAACAGGCTCTTATCAGTTGCTTACTGAATGAGATACGGAATGGGGCACTCAAGAACAAAGCAGAATATTAGCAGAAGACAGATAAAGGAGATAGAACCCCATTCATAATAAACATAGAACCAAAAACTAAGGAATTATACTACACGCACACGCACACAGTCACTAAGCCCTTGAGTATGTAAAATCTGGTTCTTAAGAGCTAATAGAACTAGGTTATTAAATCAGGCCGGCTTTGTAAATACCCAAAGGACAATTTGATCCCTGTGGCATTAACATGAATGGTAACAGGAAGAAACAAATTGTATTAGCAATAGCTGGAAGTATAAGTTGGCAGACAGTCAAAGTAATTAATCAGCGACTTGATTCTCATGATAATTTTTTTAGACTATCTAATTAATATAATACTAATTATCTCATCAATGAAATGAGAATGATAATACAACCTCAGTGTCGTGAGGAGTAAATGAAATTCAAGTAAATTCCGGTTGTGAATTGTATGCATTGTTTCTGTGAAGTTTCAAGTCATTTCACATCTTCTTTTAAAGCTAGAGTTTTTATTTCTTTTTCTGGAAATGTTGAGGCCTGGTTTCCCTAACTTTTTTCAGTGTTTGTCGTCAGCTTGTTAGGAATTTAGCTACAAAATATCTGATGTTTCAATTGAAGCAGATGCTTATTGTTATTTATGGAAAATTTTGAAGACCAAAGAGATAAAACAAATTCTTTTCTTTCTATGTTCTAGCTATTTGTGTATCAAATTGGGATAATTTATAAATTGTAGATGCACTAACTATTGCTCTAAATTTTTGTTTATTGTTAATAAGAGGTATGCCTATAATAAATAATGTTTTGCATACAACTCTCAAACATTTTTTAAAACAGCCAACATTTTAGTTAAAGGCAAACTTCATACTCAAAGATTTCGTAGGTAATATAGATAATGTTTTTCACATACAGGAAAAAACAGATAACCCCTGCTCTTACCCTACCTTCACACACTCATACAAAAAGAAAAGAAAAGAGAAGACAAACAGAGTAAGACGTGTGTGACCAAAAATCAGTAGTAAGGTTTTTTATCTGTATAAAGGACCTTAGAATTTTATTTCAAAACTGTTGGCTATCTGTGTTAGTTACAGTTTCTACATTTTTTATTCTTTTTTAAAAAAGTTAACAGCATAACATCAATATTTAAGGAAATTTAAAAATACAGAAAAATAATTCTACCCACCTAAAAATTGTCTTTGTGTGCTTACTCCTTTTGGGGCTTCACGGTTACACATTGTGGCTCTAACAGAGACATGACTGGCAAACAGACATTCTCTTAAGAAGAGGTGGATGTCCTCTAGAAGAGGACACTTAAAGTTAACAACTTAATTATTTACATCTTAGTAAGAATTACCTTAGGAACCAGGTTTGTTTGTTTGTTTCCTCTAACAACTGGTAATCAGGACACTGAAGGGGGGAGGGTTACCTAAGGAAGGGTAAGGGAGAAGTGTGAGACTGGCACGAGGCGGCAAGTAGCCATTGGGCCTTTTGAGATGGGATGGATGATGGAGGGGTGGATTATTAGAAGTAGGTGAAGTAAGAGAAAATGGGGAAGTGATTGGCTCCAATGATAAATTTTGCCAGCTTCGTAATTTTAGAATCATTAGATCTGAGATGGCCAATGATCCTAAAAATCGTCTAATCCAACTCCCATCATTGAATGCTTGTATTTCCCACAACCTCATTCTTTCCTTTCTAACCAATGAATCACCACATGTTTTTGAGAAACATTAAGAAAGTTACTTACTTGTTAAAACTTGATTCTTTAATTGTTATACAATATTTTAATATGTGTTTGAGGTTTAAGTATAAAACAAAAGATACTTTTACCCCATTTAGGAGATTCACAGGCAAAATAAGAATTATGAGTGCTTAGATATTTAAAAGGATGTTCAGTTTTTCTTAGGTCAAATTCCTACTGTAATTCATTCTGCTGATGGTGAATAAATTGGTGTCCAAATGTTGTTATCTTTTAGATAAAAATATACTCATAATGTAAGCGTTCTTATTTTGCCATTATAAAAGTTTATACAGGCATACCTCATTTTATTGTGCTTTGCTTTATTCACTTCACAGATACTGCCTTTTTTTTTTTTTTTTTTTTTTTTTTTACGAATTGAAGGTTTGTAGCAACTCTGCATTAAGCAAGTCTGCTGGCTCCATTTTTCCAACACTTTGTGTCTCTATATCATATTTTTGCAGTTCTTGCAACATTTCAAACTTTTTTATTATTATTATATTTCTTAAGATGATCTCTAATCAGTGATCTTTGATGTTATTATTGCAATTGTTTTAGGGTGCCATGAACCGCACCCATGTAAGACAGCGAACTTAATCTATAAATGTTGTGTGTTCTGACTGCTCCACTGATGTTCCCCATCTCTCTTCCTCTCCTCAGGCCTCCCTATTCCCAGAGACACAACAATATTGAAATTAGGCCCACTGATAACCTTACAATAGGCTCTAAGTGTTCAAGTAAAAGGAAGATTTGCACGTCTCTTTTTAAATCAAAAGCTAGAAATGATTAAGCTTAGTGAGGAAGGCATGTGGAAAGTTGAGGCAGGCTGAAAGCTAGTCCTCTTGCTCCAAACAATTAGCCAAGTTGTGAATGCAAAGGAAACATTCTTGACGGAAATTAAAAGTGCTACTCCAGTGAACACATGAATGGTAAGAAAGCAAAACAGTCTTATTGCTGATATGGAGAAAGTGTTAGTGGTCTAGATAGAAGATCAAACCAGTCACAACATTCCCTTAAGCCAAAGCCTAATCTAGAGCAAGGCCCCAACTCTCTTCAGTTAAGACTGAGAGTAGTGAGGAAGCTGCAGAAGAAGTTTGAAGCTAGCAGAGGTTGTAAAGCTATGGCTACCTTAGGTAGTGATTCCTCTGATAGATCTGGGCAAAGTAAATTGAAAACTTTATGGAAAAGATTCACCATTCTAGCCCAACCAGTGTGGCTCATTGGTTGAGCATTGAACCATGAACCAAGAGATGACGGTTCGATACCCAGTCAGGGCACATGCCCGGGTTGCGGGCTCCATCCCCAGTCGGGGGCGTGCAGGAGGCAGCCGATCAATGACTCTCTCATCATTGATGTTTCTGTCTCTCTATCCCTCTCCTTTCCTCTCTCTGAAATCAATGAAAAGATATATTTTTTTTAAAAAAGTAAAGATTCAGCATTCTAGATGTTCAGAACATTTGTGTGATACATGGGAAGAGGTCAGAATATCAACATTAAGAGTTTGGAAGAAGTTGATTCTAGCCCTTGTGGATGGTTCAAGACTTCAGTGGAGGAAGTAACTGAGATGTAGTAGAAATAGCAAGGGAACTAAAATTAGAAGTGGAGCTCAAAGACATAACTGACTTGCTGCAATCTCATGATAAAATTTTAATGCATGAAAAGCTGCTTCTAATGGATGAGCAAGGAAAGTGGTTTCTTGAGATGGAACCTAATAAAATCTAAAGTGCAAAAAAAAAAATAATTAAAATAGTGTTGTTGTAGGATTATGGTTGAATTTTTTATCTTAATGCTTTCAAATGCTCCTTCTAAGAGTGTTCTGATATGCATAAAGTCTAATCATGAAGTGTGAGTTTTCCAACTTTGTTCTTTTTCAAGATTGTTTTGACTACTTGGGGTTCCTTGAGGTTCAATATAAATTTTAGGGTGGATTTTTCTAATTTTGCAAAAACATCATTGGGATTTTGATAGGAATTGCATCGACTCTGTAGATCAGTGTAGTATTTGCATTAACAATGTTAAGGATTCCAATTCATAAAGATGGGATGTCTTTCCATTATGTATCTCTTATTTAATTTCTTTCAGCAGTGTTTTATAGTTTTCATTGTACAAGTCTTTCACCTCCTTGGTTAAGTTAATTTCTAAGTCTTTTATTCTTCTGACTCCATTGTAAATGGAATTGTTTTATGATTCCCTTTTCAGTTTGGAACACACACCCCCCTCCGCCATTTTTCCTCCTTGCTTAATTGCTCTGGCTAGAATTTCTAATCCTATGTTGAATTAAAGTGGCAAAAGCTGGCATGATTTTCTTGTTTTTCACTCCTTTCACTTTATAAATGTGGAGCTGTAGGCCCAGAGTGTTATACAGCAAGTTTGTAGCAAAGCAGGAACTGACACCCAGATCTCTTAACTTCTGGTCCAGTGTTCTTTCCATTATATTGGGTTGACAGAAATTAGTGTAGCTGGTTATGGAAAGGAGGCGACATGATTCTCTTCTTCTAAGTTCCCTTAGAGTGTTTTCACATCAGTAAATCATAATAGAGGATAGTATTGAGAAATTTTAGTATTATGGGATTTTTTTTTGCTGTTTGATTTATAATTCTGAATTTTACATCTTATGCATGTAACCTTAGTGTTTACTTCAGTTTCAGAACATCCTTATTCTTTTATTTCTTCAGTGCAGTTACACTCGGAACTGATATGCTAGAATTGGACTGCCATATCACAAAAGATGAGCAAGTTGTTGTGTCTCATGATGAGAATCTAAAGAGATCAACTGGGGTCAATGTCAACATCTCGGATCTCAAGTACTGTGTATGTATAAAAATGCATGATAAAGTAATATCTAGTAGATATTAGGGCCTGTAAGATTTTTAAAAACAGTGAATGCCAGATAGTGCTTCACTAAATAATAAAAAATAAATGATAGTGGTGAAATAATGAATGTCAAAGGAAATTTTAAAAGACTATTCTGAGTTTCAGTGAAGATGTACTCATTGCATACATATAGACTATTTTTATAAGTATTTTAACAAAATTACTAAAGTCCTCAAGTGTAAAACTACTAGAGTTCAACTCGCTTGAAGTATTCTATGATTTATTTGATGCGGATTAAATATATAAATTATTTTTAGTCTTAAAGTAGAGGAAAGAGCCCTTCAAAAATCTGATTTTAGCAGTTTACATGCTCATTATAGTAGATACTGGTAAATAGAAGGAAAAATGCTCAATTTTACCACCTAAAGAAAACTTCTCTTAACAGGATACTATCTTATGTATACCCTGTATGTTTTTATATAGTTGTGACCCTGCTGTACATTATATATGTTGTATTTTTTAACATTTTGGCATGATACACATTTCCCGAGCTTTTTGGTTTTAGTAGACTTTGTTTTTAGAGCAGTTATAGGTTTACAGCAAAATTGAGCAAGAAAGTACGGAGAATTCTCACGTAATTATACGATTAATTTGCTGTTGGGGATGTTGTGCTAAAGGATGCCCTACATATGTAGTGGTTTGCTCTCTTATTTTTTGAAGAAGGAAATCTTTACTTCTTAATGTAAGACATTAAAATGCTTTTGATTTTTTGAGAACTAACTTTTTTCACTCATATCTTTTAAAGGAACTCCCACCTTACCTTGGCAAACTGGATGTCACATTTCAAAGAGGTAATATTTCGCATTTGCAGCTTAAACATTTACATTAAAGTTTATTCATTTATGCTGAGAATTAGATAGATAGGCGTGTTCTCTTGTCATAGTAAGTTCCAGCTTAAAGTATTGCCCTCAGAACATTTTCTCAGGCCTACAAATCTGAAATCTTGACCCTGAAATGATGAAGTCCAGAGATTTAATTGACTCACTCCATTAAATTTATATACAGTTAATTTAAGCCGTAATGCTAATGACAAGAAACCCAGATATTATTAGGAATACTTTGTACCTCTAAAGCTTCCAATTCTAGAATATTACTATAACTTATAGTAATCATAAATTAAATAAATGAATAAATGAAAAGAAATTGAAGGGACTCCTTTTAAATCCTTACAATTGTCTCACATTTGATTCTATGTCATTTCGGTGCTCCATATTTTAAATTTTAAAGAGAATTTTGTTGCTCAAATAATCCATCCATGTCCTAGTTATCTTCACTTTAATCACCAGCATAGCAGTTTTCTTTCTTTTGAGAGAACATTTCTTACAAAGAAACATGTCCCTTGGCCCAAGATGTTAGTTATGTTAGAATGGAACATGTTAGAATGGAAAATACACCAGCTTGAGATACAGGTTGCTGAGCAGGTACAGGCTTCTTCACTATCACAATTTAGCCTCATGTTTCAAATGATTGAAATGTAATTCAGTAAAGCTATAAGATGCTACATGTTATGGAATGCTGCATGTAGTTAAAGCTTTTGTTAAATGTCAAGGGTCTATTGATATTAATTTTCAAAAAGAACTGTTAACTACTCTGTGGACTAGACTTAAAATTGGCCAGTAAAATTTCTCTTTGATCGAGAAATTTTAGAAAGGCAAATAAGAATTAGAAAATTGTTTAAATTAGCTATCTCTAAGTGATATTAGATCCGATATTTATTGATTTTTGCCTTCCAGGTAAGTATCATGAAGCTGTATTGGTTTGAGGAAACACTTTTTTCATTCTTGTAATTAACAGGATTATATTTGCCAAGCTTTTCTAATGGTTGTGTCAGTTGTGGACTTGTGACGATTAAGAAAATTTCATAAGTGAAGTTTTTCCTGTTTTTACCTTTTTAGAGCAACGCCAAAGCCTCACAAAGATGAAAAGATCTTTTGAGAAAAAATGCTTTCACTTTTTCTGGTTTTTATACCTCCTTCATAAAGTCATAAAACTTTTTTGAATGTGAAGAGACCTTTAAGACCACCTGTCTCTTCCTGTTGTAGATAAGGAAACAGGCCTAAAGATGTAAATTATAGTCATACAGCCAGTAAATGACAAAGCTAGGACCTCAACCTCTCGATCTTCTCCTTACCAGGCCAGTACTCAGCTACACTGTGTCACCTCTCCATCTGGAGTCTCTTCAGATGCCTTATGAATAGCAATGCCATGTACTCTCAAGTTTCAGACAACTGTAAAAAATAATTAACTTTAGTTCATATTGCATTCAACTCCTAACCAACTTAAGTTTACAGTATTTGAAATAGACCAATACGTAGTACTGTATAAACTCAACTCAGATAAGGCAAAATGTTGTTCAGTTTTTTTCTGTCCCATTGTCCTGCTCAAAACTCTTGCTGTCTTTCCTTTAAATACTGGAGAGAGAGACCTTCAACCCTCAGAGGAATACACATGTCTGGCCTCTTGCTTTCTTTGTGGTTCACAACCTGCTGGAGAAGAATTGTGTTTTCTTTTGAAGGTGCTTTCATGTGCCACAGGTTACATTAAAAGAAGGAACATAAAGGTATATTAACTGAAGCGTTTCTTATTTATCCTGCTTTCTTGAAAGTAGTATTCTTTCCATGGAAAATAATAATTTGGATAACCTGGAGTTGACTATAATGATCAGTTTTAAACTTCTAGCATGCTATAGAGGCTGCTTCACTCACATCCTGTGGCATACTTGCTTATCCCCCCTTTCTTTAATTTTTTAAAAATTAAATTCTCATAACTAAAAAGTCTAGAGGTTCTATACCTTTAGACATGACTGATTGCAGTTGCCCAAACAGAAATTGGTCTCCATTTCTTTGTTCTGCTTTCATTTATTAGCTTTGTCCTTAGACACACCTTGTCCACATAAAGATGGACATCCAAAGTGCATGACCCATCCAGCTGAGGGTTTCAGGAGGACTTTCCTAGGGTCCACATTGTTACCCTTGCAGGGTCATGTACTCTCTCTGTGGCCCTGGAGACGGAGCCGAGTGATTGACAGTCCCATCAGAACGGCTTCCTCGAGCCGCATCTGAATTACAATGAGTAAGAAAAAGGCAATAGGAGTAGGGCACAGACCAGGCCAGACAATAACAGATTCTTTTTTCTTTTTTCATTCACATGAGCCTTTATTATAATTAATGTTCTGACATGGATTTAGTTTACTTTTTTGATGCGCTTTTTTATTTTGATTTGCTGTGCAGTAAGGATGAAATAAAGGGTCTTTCACTATTTGGTTTTTCACAGATTGGTAGAATTGAAGTTTCAGAAAGAAAGGGAAAATTTTGTAATAGTTATATAGTATGTATAGTATATTACAGGAATGACTAGAGACAAAAGGGAGTAGGGGAAGAATAAAGAAAATAACCCTCAGGAAATTAAAGAATGATTAAAATTCTCTTCTGATTTTTTCATGACTCAGTTTTCTGTGGGTTGAGTTGCACTGATATAATTCTTCAACACATTTCTGAACTAGCATGTATTTCTCTTGCCTGAACGTATTATTCTCAATCTCTGAAGAATTTAATGATGATTATCAGAGCAAAACTTTAAAAACAATCTTAGTGTCCACTAGTAGGGTATAGGGAAGGAAAAAATCTTTTTCTTTCTACCCTTCTGGATTCTCAGCTTGGGACTCTGTAACAAGAGAGAGATTAATATGAGAAAAACAAACAGAGGTGTATTAATATGGATGTGTCATGGGAGAAACTCAGAGATGGCTAGAACCTGAATATATATAGCACTTTATTTTATTTTATAAAAGATATATCTTTATTGATTTCAGAGAGAGGTAGGGAAAAGGGAAGAGAGAGATAGAAACATCAGTGATGAGAGAGAATCACTGATCGGCTGCCTCCTGCAGGTCCCCCACTGAGGATGGAGCCCACAACCCAGGCATGTGCCCTGACCAGGAATTGAACTGCTATCTCCTGGATCATAGGTCAATGCTTAACCACTGAACCATGCCCAGCTGGGCTATATAGCATTTTAATAAGTAAATAAATTAATTCATTTTCAGAGAAGTGACAAGACAAAGGAAAAGGACTTTGAATTCTAGGGTGACAAATTATGGGAGGGAAACGTGTGGGAGGATAATGGAAGATAAAGGCTAGTCCGTAGTTTGTTATGTAGAGTCCTCTGGTGCTGATAAGGGCCTAGGGTCATTGGTGATTAATTTTTGTACAAATTTAAGTCTTGTTTTAAGGCAAATGGGGGAAGGCAGTGAGCCTTTTTTTGTATCTGCTGCTTCTGTATTGCCTTCAGTTTGAAATAATCCTTATGCCAAAGCGGCATACGTTGGAGTGGTAAGCACTGCCACTCTCAAGGGGAATGTTTTAAACTACAATAATTAAATTGATGTATGGCTACTCGATGGAATGTTTTTTAAACTTTTAAAGTAATAATTATAGAATAAAATTGGTGGATTATGTCAATGTCATGGTTGTGATACTATATTATAGTTTTGCAAGGTTACCACTGGGAATGTGGGTAAAGAAAGGGTGCACACATCTCTGTGTATTATCTCTGTGCATGTAAATCCACAGTTATCTCAAAAAGTTTAATGAAAAAACTTTTAAATCATAATTGTAAATACAGTGTATCAACATGCAATTTTTTTTTACTTACGTTAAAAGATCAGGTTAAAATATGTAAGTACGCTATAACTATATTAAATTAAGCATGGAGGCAAAAAAGAGTAGAGAAAGTACACCAAATGGCCACGCTGGTTATATCTAAATTGTTGCATTTTAGATGATTTTTCTTTTCTTTTCTTATACTTTTCATCATTCTGTAAATGTCCTTTTATGAATACTACTTATATCTCTTCTAATTGTCAAAAAAAGTATGTTATCTTTTAAAAATACATTTTAAGATGTATTTAATTTTATTTTATTTTTTGCTTCCTCAGCATGCCAGTGTGAAGGAAAAGATAACCGAATTCCATTACTAAAGGAAGTTTTTGAGGCCTTTCCTAACACTCCCATTAACATCGATATCAAAGTCAACAACAATGTGCTGATTAAGAAGGTACTTAAGGCATTGTCACCTCTGAGTGTGTGGCATCCAGTTTCACGAACTAATAAGGTTGGAGTAGGTGGAGGAAATGTGATGCTCTAGGGGATCAGTATTGTTTTAAATAATGCCCTGGTAGAAGAGATCACTTTACTATAGGAAAGCCTGTTTTCAGAGTTGTCATGTCTCAATCATGGATAAAAGTGAGTTCCTGTGACCCAATAGTTCTGGCATTTATATAATTAACTTCTAGTTTAACTTGTTTCATTTGTAGTTAGTGTATGTCAAATTACTAAATAGTTGTATTCCTTTAGATAAATCATATAATGGTAAAATGCAAGTCATTTCTTACATTTTATAAAATCTCCTCACTGGCAGATAGTCAATTATAACCTATTTTTTTAATGAAATAATGTAAGTGTATTTACAAATAGGGAGATGCCTAAAAATTTGAATTTTCACTTGTAGGTTTCAGAGTTGGTGAAGCAGTACAGACGAGAACACATAACAGTGTGGGGTAATGCCAGTTATGAAATTGTAGGAAAGTGCTACAAAGAGGTAATTCTTAAAAAATGATACAGTCTTGGAAAATTTTGAGGGTGGTGAAATAATCCTCTTTATTTGAGCAGTTGTAAAGCAGCATATGCTATTGACTGTGTCTTTCAGAATTCAGATATTCCCATACTCTTCAGTCTGCAGCGTGTTCTGCTCATTCTCGGCCTGTTCTTCACTGGCCTCTTGCCCTTTGTGCCCATTCGAGAACAGTTTTTTGAAATCCCAATGCCTTCTATCATATTGAAGTAAGTGGTTACCTGTTTCCATCAATTATCAATGACCGGAGGACTAAGATAAAGCTCATTAATATTAATGATAAAGAATAGCTTGCTGTAGTTATTTCCATGTTTGATTAGCTGACCTATATTATTTGCTTTTATGGGGGTGTGTTTTTGGTCTCATTTTCCCCCCAAATATCTTTTAATCCATAATAAAGTTTGGTCATGTGTTTAAATCTGCTATATACTAAGTCATAGCAGACAAAGCAAGAGAAAGAGGCTTCACCCAAAGAAAGAGAAGAGATATGAGTCCTGGGCACTCAGAGTCTCTGGAAAGAGAACTTTTTTTTAACCCTTTAATAGTGGTCACAAAAAGTGAGCCCGAAATCAGTAGAAATAGAGAACCCAAATGGGCTTTATTTTAATTTATGTCTGTCCTTTTACAAATATTTTTTGAGTACGTACTAAGTGCAAGGCACTTTTGGTTTTTGAACTTGTTTTATTTTATCACACTGTTTCTAATTTATTCAAATTTTGTTTTGTCTCAGGTTAAAAGAACCACACACAGTGTCCAGAAGTCAGAAGTTTCTCATCTGGCTTTCTGACATGTAAGAATGTTTAGTTTCTTGAAATAGAAGTTATTGTTTTAGCTCTATCTATTAACTACTCTGCTTAAATTTAATGCGAGCTCTCTACATGTAATTTATAACACGGATGTTTTGAGTACCAACTATACAAATGGATGTGTATGAATCATTTAGAACTGGCTTAATTACTAGTCACAGAGCCTTAGGAGGTTTCTAGGGAGATAATCTCATTCACCTTAAGCACCAACCCAGCCAAAGTTAAATGATTTACTTGGGGTTATCTAGCTAGTTAGTAGCAGAGGTAGGATATGGTATAACCTTTCCCTTCTACTTATTTGTTTCCACTAGTCTGCAGTCAAGAACATGATGAAAAGAAGTGTAAAATGTACACTGACTAATGGCACATTTGTCAGAAAAATCTGTACCAAGATTTAGCAGAAAGGAAGCCCTACCTATAGGGTAGGCATCTACTTTATAGAAAATGCCTTAATTTCTAAGACATGTTGAGTTTATTTTTTAGGTAAAAACCACAGTTATTGTGCTATCTTTTGTTTCAAAATGGAACTTTGAATGCTTAAGTAATAGTCCTTAGTCACAGCCTTTTTAACTTAGTTTCTCTTTCAAAGAGATGGAAAACTAGTCTCATCTTTTCTTTGTGCCACAGGGTTTATAGTTTTTGGCTTTATTCGTGATTTAATTTCTAGTTTTCAAGGACACATTTTTAATTTATGTGAAATGTACATGATTTTTAGTTTTTTTTCATTAGTCATTCTAATAAACAGAATAGAAATGAGATGTGTAACTTTTAAGTACAATAGTTCCATCTTGCTCAAGTGATTTGTATTCTAAAAGTTCACTTTTAAGTTGGTTAATTGGAGCTAAAAAAAAAAAAATTTTTTTTCTCCTATATATAGGATAGTGTAATTAATGGACATTAGGTTTCTAAGAGAGCTCACAAAAGACTAACCGGTTCAGCAAATGAAATGTGATGTTATAGAACTTGATCCAAGTTTACCATCTTATTTTAACTTGCAAACTTGGGAACACATACTCCAATGAGCTGCTCCAATAAGAATGGGTCTCTTAAGGATCTAGTGGCAGTAAAGACAGTTCTAGTTGTTCACCAGCCAGCAGCCAGCAGTGACAAGCGATCCAGCAGTTAAGGTATAAATGTGTCCACAGCAGCAGTTAGTATTTGAGGCCATTGCTTGAAACTCTAAATTGACTAAGTTAGGACTAAGGATTAATTTTAGTCCTTCGTAGGGCCAAGAAGTGCCTAAACCTGTTTTGCTTTTCTTTTCCAGTTTACTAATGAGAAAAGCTTTGTTTGACCACCTCACTGCCCGAGGCATTCAGGTAAATTTCTGGAATGATGCATTTTGGAAACAGCATAGTTTACCAGTTTAACGCAAGTGTAAAGGGCAGAACTTTTAACTGACTTAGTTTGGTCCCAACTCTGATGCTGCTGCTTTCTTGGTTGACACGTGAAGACCTTCAGTTCCGCCTTACAGTGAACGAGAAAGCATAGGCACTTCAGTAACTAAGTCCACTCTGTAGGTGAGAGCAGCTGAAGGTAGGGGTAGGACAGTGCATATTTAATGAACAAAGTGGAATTTTTTAAAGGGTTCAGTGATTCCTTAGAATTGCAGATGGATAAATGCTATTATAAAAATAATTTTCTATCTCAACATTTGTTCCCATATTTCTCATGCTTCTGATTCTCAGGTGTACATTTGGGTATTAAATGAAGAACAAGAATACAAGAGAGCCTTTGATTTGGGAGCAACTGGGGTGATGACAGACTACCCGACAAAGCTTAAGAACTTTTTACATAATTTCTCCGCGTAGAGAAGGAAGTGCTCAGAAGCATTCAAAGAAAACATGAAAAGACCTAAGAAAATAAAATGTCATCATCATTTTCCTAAGCCATTTCCAGAATGGTAAAAGGTTTAATCAGTTAAGTTTTTATTACCTCATTTTTAAGCTGTCCGAGAATGTAGAAACTATATATTGTATATATTTATTTTAAACAGCATTGCATACTTTGCATTTGTAAATAGTTTGTTTAGAAAGATTATTGATCAAGATTTCTGTATCTGATTCTATTATTGTAAGTAATTCTGAAATCAAAGACTATTGGATAATTTGGTAATTTCACTGGAATAAGCTAGTTAGTAAAACTAGCTATTTTGAGTTGTCTCATTATTTCTAGGCACATCTTAGTTTATGGGGGGAAATGCAGTGGAAGGAGAGCTTGGAAATCGTTGACGTGGTTGTCTGACAAGTTGAACATGTTAACAGGAGGCAGACTCAAAGAATAAACTGGAAGTTTATTACCTGATCAGGAATAAAATTCGTAGCCTGAGTAAGATTTCTTAGTTGCTGTTGTCAGCGGGGGCATTCTACTTGGGGTCCTCTTCAGGCATGTGACAATGCCGCCACGTCTTCTTTTTGCGTTTTGTCTTTTTGTAAACATTAAAATTGGACTTATCAATTGCAAATTAAGATGCGATCCAAATAGTCATATTTTTATGTTTCCTGTAAAGAAATGTAAATTTTCCATTTTGGGCAATGACTGGGTGTTTGGGCCTACATCTAGATTTTAAATAACGTTTTGAATCCTAATAATCATATGAAACTGATGAAAGTACATATCGTTGTTGTTAGTACTTAAGAATATAAACTACCTGTTTCTGATCTTTAAGAATTTATTCTTTTGAGTATTAATTGGGAATAGAATTTCCCAAAGCATTAGCCATCACTTTCTCAGCTTTTTTGATGTGACCTCATGTAAATCTGTTTCTAATTTTTTTGACTAATTTTCATGATCTCTCTGGGAGGTAACTATAATCTGGATTAATAAGTGTCTTTTACCTAGATTCCATCTCTCATTTGGAGTTTGCCAGTTTACAGCTATGAAGGATGACCAGACTCCCACTTACCCTGATGATACAAGTAACATTTGCCTTTTTTGTTTACAATGAAATAAAGTTTTCCAAGAACAAAATAAGGGTGCTTTGTTGTTTTTCTGCAGTTGCAAATTCACATATATTTGTAGATTATTTACTTATTTATTTTTGCAGAATTTGATGAGGTAATAAATTGATGAGTAAATGTACTTGAGATTTCTCTCTAAAGAAAATAAAAGAAAATGTGGAAACACTTTTATAGTTAAGAAGTTGCCTCTTGGCATGTGAACAAATAACTTGGGCAGGTAATCCATTAAATCAGTCATTTCCAGTTTTACTTATTATAATATATGGTTATAGTTGCTAGGGATCATTTTGATCATATTTGATACAATTCTTTTTGTTATTTCTTCTTTCCAAATTTTGCTTTGTTATGATTCAGAACAGTTCATATTATAGGGCCAAAAGATGTGATTAGACCCTTCTGCTGGGGTGAGCCTGGCACTAGATTTGACAGAACCAGCTATAGGTCTAGTCCAGCATGTCAGTAGTATCCCAAGTACATGGCAATTGGACAACAGTTGGCAAGCACATTTCAGTAAGCAATTGGCATGAGGGAGTTTTAACATGAAGTAATAGAGTTTCTCTGTAGGACTAGAGTCCTAGGTATGTTGCCAAGGCAAAACAGAACACAAGGTACCAACCAGGAATAAGCTCATTTAATAGAACTGAAGAACAGAGTGATAACACTGGACTAATTATAGGGGTAAGTTGGTACTGAGTTCCAGAGCTATTAAACCTCTCATTTCTGGCCAGGGCTAGTTCTAGAAATTGGGGTGGCACCCTGACAACAGGTGGGCATCTAGTAGCCACAGCTGTAGAGGAAGAATGGCTGCAGTGAGTTGAGATAAGAGAACATGAAACATAAATCTTAGCATGTTCTGGTATCGGAAACCATTAACAAAGAATACAGTATGAATGATTCTGCTTAGAGTTGTGCAACAGGATGGCCCTGGAAAGGTGCATTAAAAAAAAAAAAAATAGGCCCTAGCCACGTAGCTCAGTTGGTTAGAGTGTCGTCCCCATACGCCAAGGTTTCAGGTTCAATCCCTGGTCAGGACACATATAAGAAACAACCAATGAATGCATAAATAAGTGGAACAACAAATCGACGTTTTTCTCTCTCTTCCCCCACTTTCCCCCTTCCTCTTTCTCGCTAAAACCAATAGAAAAAAATTTTTTTAAATAGTCAAGAGAAAATCTGCAGTAGATATGAGTGTGCCAACTGGAGAGTGCCAGGTTGAAGAGTTTGTTCTGAACTGAAAGTCTTATGATTTAAGTAGGTGGCTAACCTCAAGACATTTAAAACAAGACCCAAAACTGCTAAGCAATAACATGATATAATCATTTCAGTACCAAAAGGAAAATGTAAATAGCAGCCTGAGACCAGGCACCAAAACAAGATTAGAACTAAAGCAGTCAGATCCAAGAGTCAAAGAGGAGATCAGAGTGCTGAGAGCAATGGTGCCAGGTGGGTACTGGAAATATCAGAGGGAACACTGTAAATTATCTGATTGTCCAACCACTATGTTGTACACCTGAAACTAATACAAAATAACATTGAATGTAAACTATAATTGAAAAAAACTTACATTGTACATCAACTATAATTGAAAAAAAAATTATTTAAAAAAGAAAAAAATTTTCTTTTAAAGAATTTCAAGACAGTTCATAAAGCCACTAGTGATGTTTATCTTTCTGCCTTTGGACTGTTCTGAGTGCTAATTCGAGGCTTGATATTCTGTATTTAAAATTAAATCAGTCAACTCAGTTGTGATTTCTTAGGCCTCATCAACAAAAGAGTTGATCATTTAAGACAAAAGGAAAAGCTCTTGAAGGAAGTGAGTGTGGGGAAAAGACTGAGCAGAGTCAAGCCCTAGAATTTGCCCAAAGGAGACAGAGAAGGTGTGGCCTGAGAAAGAAAAGTAAGGAAGTACAGTGTCTTCAACCCCAAGAAAGTAAAGAATTTAAGAAAGAATGTGGTAATCAACAATGTCCAAAAATAGGACACTGAGAATGCAAGGAAGGGCTGGGAAAGGATGACTGCATTTGGTTTAGAAGGCCGCCTCCTTAACTGTGGTTCCCTTATCTCTCTAGCTGATGGAACTGATACCAGATTGCACAGGGCCAAAGAGGACTGAATGGTACTAACTGAGGCTAGTGAAAATCAGCCGCTTATTCAAAGGAACTGGAGAACCAGCACTTGAAAAGACAGCAGTATCAAGTGAGTTGTGTTCTAAATGGGGAGGCTTATAAATGTGTGAAAATGAGAAGGAGCTAGTGGGGAGAGATTGGAGATACTGGAGGGAGAGACGTGTGAGAAAAGATCTCTTTCCAGATCGAATGGGTTGTATTTATTCAACAAATCCTTATGAATGCCCACCATGCCAGGCTACCTGGGTGATAGCTGTGAACCATACAGAACAATTCCTGCCCTCCTTAGTTCGGGCTTTTGGTCTTGTTAGTGGGTAATCAAGAGCTGAGAGAAGAGGAAGGAGTGGTATCTTTTTTCTTAAATTCCAGGGTAGCATGGGAGTATAAAAAAGTGGGATGTAGCCCGGCCAGTGTGGCTCAGCGGTTGAACATTGACCTAGGATCCAGGAAATCGAGATTCGATTCCCAGTCAGGGCACATGCCCGGGTTGCGGGCTTGATCCCCAGTGGGAAGTGTGCAGGAGGCAGCCGATCAATGACTCTCTCACCATTGATGTTTCTATCTCTCTCTCCCTCTCCTGAAATCAGTAAAAATATATTTAAAAAAAAAACAAAAACTGGGGTGTTTTGCGCTTGAGAGAAGATAGAAGAGCTAAAATGTATTAGTCCACTCAGGCTGCCATAGCAAAATACTACAGACTGGGTGGCTTAAACAACAGAAATTTATTTTCTCAGTTGTGGAGGCTGGAAGTCCAAGATCAAGGTACAGGGTTGGTGTCCAGTGAGACCTCTCTTCCTGGCTTGTAGATGGCACCTTCTTGCTGTGTCCTCACATGGCCTTTTCTCTGTATGCTCGTACGGAGGGAGGTCTCTGGGGTCTCTTCCTCTCCTTATAAGGACACCAGTACTATTAGATTAGGACTCTATCCTTACAACCTCCTTTATTAACCTGAATTACTTCCTTGAAGGCTCTATCTCCAAATATAGTCAAGTTGAAGGTTAGTGCTTCATCAACACATGAATTTTGGGGGGACATAATTCAGTCCATACAGGTAGGGGTGGGGTCAAAATGGGAGAGATGGAGATGGGAAGGGTAAATTGAGGAAATCTGAGAGAGCTGGAGAAGGAAGCACTAGTAACTATCCACGGGAGAAGGACTCGGATAGAAAGAAGTCTGGTGTGACCAAGAATTGCCAGAGGCCGACGTGTATTTCTTAGTTTCCTAGGATACTTATTGGATATTTACGGAGAGCTGACACCAAACAAGCCCATAGATTGTTAGAGAAGAAGAAGAACAACAACAAAAAACCTAAAAAAACACTTTTCAAATTTTAAATTAAAATTAAGCTTCAAGTAACAGTGAGTTTGAAAGTTTGGGTATTACCAAATAATAATATGTTACATTTATATAGATATTTAGATTTTATTTATTTTTATGTGCATTCTCATGTGTTTCTTACAACTGGTAGAGTGGTTGATACCACATTCCCATTCTTTAGAAGAAATTCAAATGAGGGACTTCACAAGGTCACCTGGCTAGAACTGGTATGGCTGGGTCTTCTTAACCTCCCCATCTACTCCGATTTTTCTAATTTGTCTTCAGTTCACCATTAATGCTGAGAGAAATACCAAAAACCAGGTAGAAGGGAAGGTTGTAATGTGATCCTATGAAAAGTGAACTTTTCCAAGTGAAAGCTACAAAAGAGAAAATTCCCACATGTCACATGTACTTGCTGTTCTCCAACATGGCTTACACAATGTTGATAGCACTGTGGAGATGGGAACCAATGGTCAATATTCCCATTCCCATCAGTGACCCAAACACCACTGCCCATGGGAGTAGATGGAAGACTATGCCACCACTTTTTTGAGAAATTACTAAATCTCAGATAAAAACAAAAAGTGATTATTAAACATTTGTGAATCTAACACCCAGAATTGACTACTGTTAATATTTTATCATACATATATGCACATACATATATGTATTAGTTGGTTTTTTTAAAATATCTTTATTGATTTCAGAGAGAGGAAAGGAGAAGGAGAGAGAGAGATAGAAACATCAATGATGAGAGAGTCATTGATCAGCTGCCTCCTGCACGCCCCTGACTGGGGATCAAGCCCTCAACCCGGGCATGTGCCCTGACCGGGAATCGAACCCCGATCGCCTGGATCCTAGGTCGACGCTCAACCCCTGAGCCACACCCGGCCGGGCTGTATTAGTTTTTATCTAATGGAAGAAATCAAACCTTTCTGATAAAATGCTACCTGAGCCCTAGTCCCAGTCCCATTCTCCCTCCTGTTTGGCCAGTGGGGATCCCTAGCATGAGATCAGAGAGAGGGAGGTTGGTATTGGTTCTGTCCCATCCCTTTCTATAAAATCACTTTGGGCTGACTGGGTCCCTTGACTGAAGGGCAAGTTTATTTCAAGGTGGCTCTGACTCTAGGACTTTCTCCTTCTAGCTTCCAGTAACAGCGCCCAGCTTTTCTCCATTCAGGCCTATAGGTGGTGAGAGCTCTGCTATTACTAATCCTTGGACATTTTACTATTCTTGGGGTTTCCTCACACCTTTGTAAATGACTTCTTATTAAACAATGCTCAAACTACCCTAATTTGAGTGAGTCTCTGTTGCCTGCTGCTTTTTCCTGACTGACTCGCACGGGAAGCTGGCCAAAATGCAGATTTCCAAAGCTTCCGCCTTTTCTTCTCATTAATTACTTAGTTATTCAACAAATATTTGAGTGCCAGGCACTGGGCAAGGTGTTACGGATACAGTCATAACATGACACAGTTCCTGTCTTTGGGAGAAGACAAACAATAAACAGGGAAATGACTGACTTATGGCTGATTTTGATGTGATAGAGGGTCAAGTAGGCAGGCAGCA